GGGATGGAGAAAGATGTACCAACCAAATGGAGAGCAAAAATAAATAATAAATAAATAAAAAGCAGGAGTTGCAATTCTCGTATCGGTTAAAATAGATTTTAAAGCAACAAAGATATAGTGGTAAAAGGATCATTGCAACAACAAGAGCTAATGATCCTAACACCCAGATACGAGACTTAGATTCAATGAGACAGAAAATTAATAAGGATATCAAGGACTCAAACTCAGATCCGGAACAAGTAAACTTAATAAATATTTATAGAGCTCTCCACTTCAAATACACAAAATATACATTCTTGTCAATACCACATCACACCTACCCTTAAGTTTAAATGAAACATTGGCCATTATTAATACCCAATTTTTTTCAAAATAAAGCAATATTTCCATTTACTCTCCCTCTTTCTCTTCCTCTTTCTTCCTCTCCTTTACTTATTTTTTTTTTCTTTCCTTCTCTCAAAAAAAAAGAAATCAACTTGTAAACCTTTAGATCCAGGTCGGCAATGTCTCTCTCATTGCTTGATTTCCTTCCTTCCCTTCCCTCCCTACCGCTTCCTCCCTTCCTTCCTTCCTTCATCCCTTCCTTCCTCCCTACCGTCCTTCTTCCCTTCCTTCCTCCCTATCGTCCTTCTTCCCGCCCTTCCTGCCTTCCTCCCCCTGCCCCCCCCCCCAAAAAAAAAGAGTTGGAGGGCAGCCTGGCCAATATCGTGAAACCCCATCTCTACCAAAAATACAAAAAATTAGCCAGGCATGGTGCCACAGACCTGTAACACCAGCTACTTGGGAGGCTGAGGCAGGAGGATCCCTTGAACCTAGGAGGTAGAGGTTGCAGTAAGCTGAGATTGAGCCACTGCCCTCCAGCCTGGGCAACAGAGCGAGACTCTGTCTCAAAAAAAAAAAAAGAAATTAAAAAAAAAAGAAAGTCACTTATCTAGGCACATTTGTTCATCTTCATTTCCATTACATTAGGTCAGGCTTTTACTGGCTATCGTTCGCAGCTCAGATTTAGGAGTCCCATTCCCTGGGTTTGAATTTTGGCTTTATCCACTTACTAGATGCAACGGTCTTTGACTTCTCTGAGCCTTAGTTACACATAAAACAGGAATAATAATAATACACCTATCTGTGGAGTTTTTTTTTTTGTTTTTTTTGAGATAGAGTCTCGCTCTGTTGGCCAGACTGGAGTGCAGTGGTGTAATCTCAGCTCACTGCAACCTCTGACTCCTAGGTTCAAGTGATTCTCCTGCCTCAACCTCCTGAGAGCTGGGATTATAGGCGCCAGCCACCATGCCTGTCTCATTTTTGTATTTTTAGTAGAGATGGCGTTTCACCATGTTGGCCAGGCTGGTCTGGAACTCTGACCTCAGGTGATCCGCCTGCCTCGGCCTCCCAACGTGCTGGGATTAGAGGCGTGAGGCACCGTGCCTGGCCAATATGTGGAGACTTTTAAGGTTGCACAGAAATATTCTGTTTCTCCACTGTGAGAGTCCCAGGTGGACTGTGTTATGCTATAATTACAGGCATCCCCCAGGCTAAAAGAACAGAAGCTATTCGGAATATTGCCAGTTGCCATGGCAGAGAGGAAACAAGTCTGACACAGTATGGTCTAGCTCTTCCTCCTTAAAGTTTTGGCTGGGCGTGGTGGCTCACACCTGTAATCTGTAATCACTTTGGGAGGCCGAGGTGGGCGGATCATCTGAGCTTAAGAGCTTGATACCAGCCTGGCCAACATGGTGAAACCTCATGTCTTCTAAAAATACAAAAATTAGCTGGGCATGGTGGTACACACCTGTAGTCCCAGCTACTGGGGAGGCTGAGGCAGTTGAATTACTTGGACCCAGAAGGTGGAGGTTGCAGTGAGCTGAGATGGTGCCACTGCACTCCAGCCTGGGCATCAGAGCCAGACTCCATCTCAAAAACAAAAAAAAGACTTCAACATGGATTTTGGAGGGTCACAAAATTCAGACCATAGTAGTACTGGTGCTATAAAAGCCAAATGCAGAGTCCTGTGTTAATGAACTCCACCAAAGTACATGAGAAGGAAGAGGCAGAAGCAGCTTTGCCAAAATGATTTGATAAAAGAGAGAGAACAAATGTATTCAGAGAAAAAGGGAGGAACTCAATCTTTGTCTAAAATGAATTTCCAAATCAACTCATTAGTAAATGTTCCAATAAAAACAGTGTACTTGTTATATGTGAAATGCTGTTTTAATATGCATAAATATAAGAAAGATAATGAAAGGTGTTACCATAGACAGTTCGGAGTCTGGTCTTACGCTAGATTGACTGAGTAGCTAAGTTACTCAGTTGCTCCCTGCATCAAAGAGGCTCTTAAATAATAGTAACTAAGCTGACTATTTCACACGCTTACATTATCTCTAATATTCAAAAAAGTCCTATGAGGAAGGCATTTGTTGCAGGCAAAATGTCTAAAATGGCCCTTAAAGATGTCCTGCCTTAATCTCTGGAACCTGTGAATATGATGAGATTTCACTCTGATGATTATATTATGTTGTATGGCACAGCTGACCTTAAGAAAGAGAGATTTTCTGGGTGAACATGAGCTGTTGAAAGCAGAGAGCAGCAGGCACGGTGGCCCACGCCTGTAATCCCAGCACATTGGGAGGTCAAGGCCAGAGGATCCCTTGAGCCCAGGAGTTTAAAATCAGCCTGGGCAACATAGCGAGATACCAACTCTACAAAAAAAAAATAAATAAGTAGAAAAAAAAGGAATAAAAGCAGAGAACTTTATCTGGCTGAGAGCAGAAGTCAGAGGTGTTCAAAGTGTCAGAAGGGTTAGATATGTAGTTGCTGCTTTGAAGTAGAGGGGTCACTGAGGAGGAGGGAGACAGGCTTAAGGAGCTGAGAAAGGCCTCTGCTGATAGCCAGCAAGGAAAGAGGGCCTCGGTCCCACCACTGCAGGAAACTATATTCTGCTGACAACAGGATGAGCTTAGAGGAAGACCCTGAGCCCTAGGTGAGAACACAGCCAACCAGCATCTTGATTTCAGCCTTTCAAGGCTCTGAGCAGAAAACCTGGTTATGCTATTGGGGCCTCTGGTCTACAGCCCTGTGACGTGATGAGTGGATGTAGTTCTTACCCTCTAGATCAGTGCTAATTTGTTACACAGCAGTAGAAAACTAGTAAAGCATTCATACCCTCCTCCTTCAGAGAGGAAACTGAGGCCCAAGGAAGTTTAGTAAATGTGAAAACTATCTTTTTTTTTTTTTAAATGGAGGGAAGTTTAGTAAATGTGGTGAAAACTATCTTTTTTTTTTTGGAAAAAAAAAAAAAAAAAGTAAATGGGGTTTTACTTTTGTTGCCTAGGCTGGAATGCAATGGCACAATCTTGGCTCACTGCAACCTCCGCCTCCTGGGTTCAAGTGTTCTCCTGCCTCAGCCTCCTGAGTAGCTGGGATTACAGGCGTGCACCACGACACCCGGGCTAATGTTGTATTTTTAGTAAAGACGAGGTTTCTCCATGTTGGTCAGGCTGGTCTTGAACCCCTGACTTTGTGATTGACTGCCTTGGCCTCCCAAAGTGCTGGGATTACAGGTGTGAGCCACCACACCAGGTCAAAAGCTATCTTAAGAATGTGGTGAGAGCAGGTTTGATGCAGGTAGACAGACCTACCCACGTCGCTGTTCAGTAATGTGTTAACCAACCAAGATTCACAGGATGCACAAGGAATAAAGCTCTCGATAGAGGGAAGGATGACTCAGCTTCCTACTCAGTTTTAGAATGACTCAGATTCTTACTATTGGCTGAACAATGGCTTGGGTTCTGCAATGATCTTGATCTGTGGGAGTGGCCCCCACGTATCTGCTCTGTTGAGATGTATTAGCTTGTCTCCTGTTTGAGCTACAAGCATTAGATGACTGATTTCCAAATGAGTGAAGCTGAATGGATTTAGCCAGATTAACATTCTAACAGCAAGAAATAGGGAAGAAAAGGCAAATCCTGGGGCGCTTTGTTAACACACGGAATCACTCACACAAACATGGTCAGGAAAAGCCCTCTCTCCAAGGCCTAGCCTTGTAGATTTTCAGCTTCCTAAGAACACGCTAGTTTTAAAAGGTGGAGTTTAAGGAGCAGTTACCATCAGGACCTGGCCCTAGCTTTTCATGTGACCTTTTCCTTCCTTCTTCCGGCTTACTCCACTCCAACCACAGGACTCTGGACTCTCCCATGAATATGCTAAGCTCCTGCCTGCCTTGGGCATTGTGCCTCTGTTCTCTCTGGTGTGGAATATTTTTCCTCTAGTTCATGTCCCTTAATTCACTCAAATCTCCGCTCAAGTGTCATCCGACAGGAGAGCCCTTTCCCTGACCAACTTGTTTAAAGCAGCGCTGTTCTCTGCCTGTCAATGTCTCTTTCTCCTGCTTTATTTACTTATTTCTTTATTTATTGAGACAGAGTCTTGCCCTGTTGCCCAAGCTGGGGTGCAGTGGCACAATCTCAGCTCACTGCAACCTCCACCTCCCGGATTCGAGCAATTCTTATGTCTCAGGCTCCCGAATAGCTGGGACTACAGGTACACATCACTAAGCCTAGCTAATTTTTGTATTTTTAGTAGAGACGGGGTTTCACCATGTTGGCCAGGATGGTCTCAAACTCCTGACCTCAGGTGATTCGCCCGCCTCGGCTTCCCAAAGTACTGGGATTACAGGTGTGAGCCACTGCACCAGCCCCTGCTTTATTCTTCATAGCACTTTGGTTACCTGATATGCCTGAGATATACAAATATATCTATTTGTTTGTCATCACCTTTCTCCTGAATGAGGACGTAGGCTCTAGGAGGGCAGAGAGGCTTTGTTTTATTCATTGCTGTATTCCCAGCATCCGCAACAATTTACAGCATTTAGTAGGGAATCGAATACTTGTTGAACAAATTAATGAATCAAGAACAAAAGCATTGTGTCTGTTAAATGATTTGGCATTCCTGAGCTATTTCTGTAACTAATCTCTCTCTCTCTCTCTCTCTCTCTCTCTCTCTAGTATTTGCAAATGCGTCTAATGTGGGAAAGATACTTAATCGCATGGTTGTACAAAATCTAGAATAAAGAAGATTAAACCTGGAGACAGTGTGGTGTAAAGCTGAAGTCCTTCCTTGCCTTCCAATAGGTATGTGACCTTGGAGAAGTCAATTACTTCTTTTGGCTCCAGATGTCTTATCTTTTAATGGGTCTAATGATAGGGTGCTATTTGAAGGGACTAGAGCAGATGGGTTCTGGAGATTTCTTCTTACACTAAGATCCTTTGAAATTAGAGCTCAGTTGGTAGGGAATTAGGAAATGTTGGTTTTAGTCCTACTTTAAATGTAAACTGAGTGTATAACTTAGAGCAAGTCCTTTAAGCTCTCTAGAACTCCAGCTAAACCAGAATTTCTTTGAGGTCCCATTGAGGCCAGCTCTCAATAACCTGCAGGCACTGGGGGGAACCAGGTTGACCGATGTCCTGGCGTTTGTGAGACCTTAATCTCTGTCCCTCCAGGGCTCAGGTCCACCTGTTGTTTGGTAAAGGTGAGCCTTGCCACTGCAAAATGGGTATTTTCCATAAGTATTTTCAGTAAGTATTTTCTGAGCACATGTTATGTGCCATGTGTTGGGGATACCACAATGAACAAGGCAGAGAAGGCCTCTGTCCCCTGACATTCTAGGGATAAGAAACAGACAATAAACAGGGAAATGGGAAATAAATCAAGGCCAGGCGTGGTGGCTCATGCCTAAAATCCCAGCACTTTGGGAGACCGAGGTGGGTGGATCACCTGAGGTCAGGATTTTGAGACTAGCCTGGCTAAAATGATGAAACCCCATCTCTACTAAAAATACAAAAAGTAGCCAGGCATGGTGGCACATGCTTATAATCCCAGCTACTCAGGAGGCTGAGGCAGGAGAATTGCTTGAACCTGGAGGCAGAGGTTGTAGTGAGCCGAGATCACACCACTGCACTCTAGCCTGAGTGACAGAGGGAGACTGTCTCAAAAAAAAAAAAAAGAAAATAAATCAAGACTAGTGTGATATTGTGGTATAATAAACAATATATATTTAGTCTTTGTCCTCATTTCCTGCGCAGAGCTCCTAAAACCTTTATAATTTCTGATAAGTTGAAAGGAGTGTCTTTTGTTACTCATAAAAGCCCCTTTCAACCATACCTGAGGTTTTTTTTTTGTTGTTTTTTTTTTTTGGTGACAAGATCTCACTCTGTCACCCAGACTGGAGTGTAGTGGTGCGATCACGGCTTCCTGCAGTCTTGACTTCCTGGGCTTGAGCAATCCTCCTGCCTCAGCCTCCCAAGTAGTTGGGACTACAGGCACATGTCAGCACACCTGGCTAATTTAAAAATATTTTGTAGAGACAGGGTCTCACTGTGTTGCCCATACTGGTCTTGGGGTCTTCCTGCCTTGGCCTCCCACAGAGCTGGGATTTACAGGCATGAGCCACCATGCCCGGACCACGCCTTCACAAGTTTGTGAAGTGACTTTGGGAAAACGCCTAAGGAGGGGGTGCTGACTGTCAGGAGAATTATCTTTATGATTAAAGAGTTGAAACTTTCAAGCCCACTGCTCAACCTCTGGGGAGAGGAGGAAGGTTAAAGATTGAGTTCAATCAGAAATGGCCAATGATTTAATCAATCGTGCCACATAATGGAACCTCCATAAAACCCCTACACAACAGGGTACAGAGACCTTCCAAGGGAGTGAAGAAACACATTGAGATGCTGGGAGGTCAAAGGGATGTGGCTGGAGAAAACAAACAAAGATGCTAGGAGCGTGGCATGCCTGGAGAGCATGAAAGCTCCACCTGTCCCCTTACCTTTCCCTGTGCATTTTTCCCACCTGGCTGCTCCTGAGTTGCATCCTTTACAATGAACTGGGTGATGGTGTGCAAAGTGTGCTTCTGAGTTCTGTGAGCCACTCTAGCAAATTATGGAACCTGAAGAGGGGATTGTGAGAATCCTCTATTTATAGTTAGTTGGTCAGAAGTGTAGGAAGCCCACTAGCTCCGGCATGGTTTTCTGGGCATAGCAGCTGTTATCCTTCCTACTCCAGCTGTTTCAGGAGCAACAGAATCCAGGTCCCCTAGGCTCAGGCAGATAGGTTATGAATTTAGACCTTGAATTTAGGCCTTGACAACAGCAGATAACTACTAATTAGAACTGGCTGGCTGGCTGGGCCGGGTGCGGTGGCTCATACCTGTAATCCCAGCACTTTGGGAAGCCAAGGTGGGAGGATCAATTGAGATCAGGAGTTAAAGATCAGCCTGGCCAACATGGTGAAACCCCGTCTTTGTTAAAAATACAAAAAATTAGCCAGGCGTGGTAGCAGGTGCCTGTAATACCAGCTACTTGGGAAGCTGAGGCAGGAGAATCACTTGAACCTGGGAGGTGGAGGCTGCAGTGAGCTGAGATCATGCCATTGCACTCCAGCCTAGGCAACAAGAGCAAAACTCCGTCTCAAAAATAAATAAATAAAAATACAAATTAGCCAGGCATGGTGGTATGTACCTGTAATCCCAGCTACTCAGGAGATTGAGGCAGGAAAATCACTTGAACCTGGGAGACGGAGGCTGCAGTGAACTGAGATCGTGCCACTGCACTCCAGCCTGGGCAACAAACAAAACTCTGTCTCAAAAAAAAAAAAAAAAAGAAAAGAACCATAGGAAGCCCAGTGTTGCGTTCAGCATCTGAAGAAAGTGTAGTCTTATGGGACTGAGCCCTTCCCCAGTGGGGTCTGTGCTAACTCCAGACAGTTAGTATGTCAGAATTGAGTTAAATTGAAGGATACCAGCTGCTGTCTGTAGAGAACTGGCGAACTGCTTGGTATGAAAAACCTACCTGGTTTTCCTGACATGTGTTGTGTTGTCATAAGTATTCTGTAAGAGTATAGCAAAAAAGTGTTCTTTTTTTCCCTTTCACTAGAGAAAAGTGCTAGAAAGGAAACAGAAGAATGATATCATAGAGAATAGCAGATAGGACCTGTTGAGTTAACTCAGATCAGGAAAGGCCTTTCTGGAGCATTTAAGCTGAGCTTTACAAAATGAGAAAAATCCAGCAATGCGAAGAACATTCCAGGCAAAGGAAGAGGCAAGCACGACCCTTGAGGCCTCAAAGGGCCAGGCTGCTCTAGAACCAGACCAAGGCCAGTGTGCAGAGGGTGCAGTGATTGAGGGACAGCGGATGAGGTGAGGCCATGAGGCAGGCATTCCTCTTCAAGGGAATGAGGTCTTAAAGGCCATGGTTAGGGGGAAACATTGCCCCAGTTTGCCCAGAACTGAGGGTTTCCTGAAATGCAGAAATTTCAGTGCTGAAATCAAGAAAGTCCTGGGCAAAACAAGATGAGGTCACCCTCGCCATGGTAAGGAACTGTGCCCAGCTGATATTGTGCTTACTCGGTCTGCAATAGGCAATCACTGAAGGGTCGTAAGTAGGAAATGATGCTTAGTGATTTCTGTTTTTAAAGGCTTTTCTGTGGCAAATGCTTAAGAAAGGAGCAAGTTGGAAAAACAGGTGGCCAGTGAGCCAATTACTACCACTCCTCCATGCATTGAAATAGACTGAAGATGGAGAGATAAGAATGGATATAAGATACATTTTTGAGTTAGAATGAACAGGACTTGGAAATGTATGTGGAGAAGGCAAAGGAGTTAAAGATATCTGGAGTAGCACAACTCACAATTGCAAAGATGCGGAACCAACCTAAGTGTCCATCAAGCAATGAGAAGAAGAAGAAAATGTGGTAGGCCAAGCATGGTGGCTCACGCCTGTAATCCTAGCACATTGGGAGGCCAAGAAGGGTGGATCACCTGAGGCTGGGAGTTCGAGACTAGCCTGGCCAACATGGAGAAACCCTGTCTCTACTAAACGTACAAAATTAGCTGGAAGTGATGGCACATGCCTGTAATCCCAGCTACTTGGGAGGCCGAGGCAGGAGAATCGTTTGAACCCAGGAGGCAAAGGTTGCGGTGAGCCAAGATCGAGCCATTGCACTCCAGCCTGGGGGACAGAGTGAAACTCCATCTCAAAAAAAAAAAAGAAGAAAAAAAGAAAATGTAGTATATATACACCATGGATATGAGTAGCGCTCAGCCACAGAAAGGAACAAAATAACACCTTTTGCAGAAACTTGGTTGGAGCTGGAGGCCATTATCCTAAGTGAAGTAACTCAGGAATGGAAGCCAAATATCATATGACCTCACTTATAAGTGGAAGCTAAGTTATGAGGACGTAAAGGCCTAACAATGATATTATGAACTTTGGGGACTCAGTGCAGGGGAAGGTTGGGAGGGGGTGAGGGATAAAAGACTTTTGGGTACAATGTACACTGCTTAGGTGACAGGTGCACTAAAATCTCAGAAATCGCTGCTAAAGAACTTATCCACGTAACCAAAAACCACCACCTGTACCCCCAAAACTATTGAAATAAATTTTTTTAAAGGACGATATCCTCAAAAAAAAAAAAAAAAAAAAAAAAGAGGCCAGGCAGGGTGGCTCATGCCTGTAATCCCAGCACTTTGGGAGGCCTAGGCGGGTGGATTACCTGAGGTCAGGAGTTTGAGACCAGTCTGACCAACATGGTGAAACGCTGTCTAAAAAAAAAAAAAAAAAAAAAATCTGGACTCTGGTTTTACTATCCACTTAATTGGTTTTGCCAATAGAGAGAAATCTGAGGAGGACCTGGGTATGGAAGTTCAGAGGCAAGGATGGAGGTACCTGGAGTTCCATTCAGAAGAAAATGTGCCACTCAGAATGAAAACACTCTTACTGTTAATGTTCAAGGTATTTTGTAATCAGTAGCTAATTAGTTCTCAAAATAGTTGTTCTGAGTTGTTAATTACCTAAATCCCATTTTATAGTTTCTGGAAAAGAGCAAGTATCAGTAATTTGCCTAAGGCTAGAGTAAATTGTAGAACTGACAGCAGCACCAATTAATTCCTGGTAGTCTTATGTTCTGCCAATCTTTTAAAAGAGTAACTCGTAGTCGGGATGGGTAAATTGAACGACGTTTGGGAGAGTAAGGCATAGATTTAGTAGTCAGAGGGTTGTGGCGGGGGGCGATGGCTCATGCCTATAATCCCAGCACTTTGGGAGGCTGAGATGGGCGGATCATGAGGTCAGGAGATCAAGACCCTTCTGGCCAAAATAGTGAAATCCCGTCTCTACTAAAAATACAAAAAATTAGCTGGGCGTGGTGGCAGGTGCCTGTAATCCCAGCTACTTGGGAGGCTGAGGCAAGAGAATCACTTGAACCCAGGAGGCGGAGGTTGCAGAGAGCCACTGAACTGCAGCCTGGGTGATAGAGCAAGACTTCTGTCTGAAAAAAAAAAAAGGTCCGAGGGTTGTGTTTTGAGTTTCCCACTTATTACTTAGGTGGCATGGGCACAGGCACTTAGTTTCCTCATCCATAAAATATTAATTTTTATCTTAGAGAGTTAAATATTCAACATGTTCTTACTTTCTTTTTTTTTTTTTTGAGATGAAGTCTTGCTCTGTCGACCAGGCTGGAATGCAGTGGTGAGATCTCAGCTC